CTCCCCAACTGAATTGTTGGCCCACAAGCATTTGCTCCGAGCCAACTTGCCCATGATGATGAAATTGAATTCCCATTTCTATTTTAAAGGAAGGAAGTTGAGCTTGAATTATCTGATTGCCAAACATGTGTCAGACCTGTAATTTCCCCAGGTTTTTGACTTTAAAAAAGAGCTACTTCCTTTGTTAGAATGCTTTTTCTGAACGTTCTCTCCTCTCTCTGCACCTAAACAGAAACAGCTCTATCCCAGCAATCTGTTGACTGATAACGTCTGGGATTTTTAAAACTGGTGTTTATCTAGCATCCTCCTGCCCACCAGGTTTCCTTCATTTGCAATCCTCGGGATTCTTTCTCTGTCTCCTTTGACTGATTGAAGCTGGATATGAGAAGCCCAAAGGGTGCCTATCCAAGGATCCACCCTGTCACGTGTTTGGTGTTACATTTTGTGCAAATCGTTTTTTGCAAAATTGCTCAGGCTAGCTGGTGGTAAGAAAACAGGAAGTTCACCACACTTACGTTTCAAGTACTCAGTCTCCTCCTTGGATGAAATCAAAATTGCAAATGTTTGATGACCAAGAGTGCCTTGAACTAATGACCCAACATTGAGATGTACATCTTCAAAATTGTCAGTGGTTTAGGAGACAAGAAGTATGCATCAGTTTGATGTGGCAATATAGCCACATATATAGCACAGAAGCACGCTACCTTTTTATGCATTTTGAGCACAGGTTGTAAGCAATCGTTGATTGTTATAGGGAGGAAGATTCACTGTATTAGTCCTATTGCATGATCTCTGGAGAAAAAAAAAATCATCAGTGGATCACTAGCCTGCTATGAAATGCATAGAGAAATGTTGTGAAACATTTCTTTGAAATGGAAGAGCAAAACATTTCTTATTTAGAATCTATTATTACTTATCAATCTGGCCTAGAAATGTTTATATGAACATTTTTTGGTGAGGCTATTAATTGTGAGTTCACAACCAAATTGAAGTAAAAGCAGAGGAAAAGTTTTTGTTTACCAACAGATAGTGACATAAGTCACATGCTGAATGTGATCTTATTAATCCTATCAAAGAATATGACCATGTGCATATGCTGCCAGTGTATGTTTTATTCACACTGTTGTTATGGCACAACCATGTCATAATATTAAGTCTTCTCTATTAACAGAAGCATTCATTAATTTATGTTCTTACCAGTGTTTAAGGTCCTCACCAAGAAGATATTCCTCCCATGGATAAGATTAACAATGTGATTCATTGATATAACTATTGACTCCATGTTAACCTAGGCATATTTAAACATATTTTAAATAAGAGCTTCCATGGGGGAGCAAATTACTGGTCCCTGCAACTGATAGTCATGCCTCCAGCAATGGCCTATATACTTAATTCAGCAGCAGCAGATGCCTCGTGACCAATTTTGAAGAACTGCTTGCAGAAAATAAATACATTTTGGAACATCGTTCTGGTTAGATCTTACTTTTATTTGGGTCTTACATGGTTACTGTAGCAGCATCTATCCAGTGCTTTTTTTGTAAAAAAAAAAAAAAAAAGGTGCCGGAACTCACACATCATACAACTCGCCTTGCCTATCCTACAAGGTTCCATCCAAAAAAGGTGCCGGAATTGCGTTCTGGGCATTCTATGATAAAAAAAGCCCTGCATCTATCTCACTCACACATGCATGAGCACACTTCCTCTAACATGGCCATGAGAAAGACTTAAGAAACTGTGACTTTAGTTACTTGTGTTATCTGAATTCAGTAAACAATTGAATATTGTTTCCTCCACCCCAGATGAAATCCACCCCTCCTAATTGTTGTGCCTCAGCGTTGTCATGATACTGCCTACTAATTTTTCAGAATCAGAAATATTCATATTCTGTATTCAATAGACTTCCTCAAAAGGATCATCAGTTATATCAATGAAGGAGAGTTATCCGTTATATGTCTGCTTTTAAGCAATTGCTGGCTGGGATGAACCAGACTGAGATGGGGACAATATACTCACCTGGTCCTCTCCTGGCTGATACTCAGATTCTTAATATTGTTTTAAAAGCAGTTCTAGACCATATCAGGTCTTATGTATGGAGTGAAATGGATTCTGATCTGCCTTTCTTTTGATTTGTATTTTCATGCAAGGGTCTTTGGCTCATAATCTTTTTAAGCTTCAGTATCGAGAGAAATTATATAGAGCATACTGTTTCTCTTCTTCAGTAATATTGGTATATTCAACATTTTCTCCACTGAGTCTTGTGTTAGTAGATTCGCAGAAACATTGTTTTGCAGGTCTAATCTTAACAATTTGGTTAAAAAATTATTAAGATACTACATAGAATCTCTCAAAAAACTCCTCTCAAAATAATATGTTCTCGATTTTAAAATATTTTCACAAAGAAATGTACTAAAAATGAACTATGAACTTCATTCCTCTTCTGAAGCTTAATTTAAACTGTATCATGGCATGGGCTGAAATGCCATCCATATGTTCACCTAAAAGACCAAACATAATTCTCAGAATATTTTCTTTTTTCCTCTTTTTTTTTTCCTTATTTTGTTTCTCCATTCCACATTTATGTGAATTCCCTATTCTGCCCCTTAGGGCTATCCCTGAAAAAACAGGAAACGCATCACTTTGCTTATCCGATCTTCGGAAGGATGCAGGGCCTTTTCTGTAGCAGCTTCCTTATTATGGAGCTTTCTCCCCAATGTGGTTAGGCTTGCTTCCTCTTTTCATCCTATAAATGGCTGGGGAAGGCATCACTGTTCATTTGCTCTTTAATAGTATATTTACTTATGTACTGTATTAGTATGCCATCCATTCCCAAAGGCTCTGTAATAGTTAATTGCACTTTATGACTTCATTACTAGGCCCTAGTTTTAATGTGCAAAAACATTTGTAAACTATTTGTACATATATTGTTTATATTGTTCTCCATGTGACTATTGTCCAGAGTGTCTATGGGCAATAGAGTAATGCAAAAAGATTCCAATAAATAGGATTGTTACGAGATGACTTCCAAGTGGCTTTTTTCCTTTTGACTGCCACAATACGAAAACAGAAGATGGCTGATATATACTGTCTTCCTGTGTTTGCTTCCATTAGAAAATGGATTATTAAACAGGAAATAAACTCTCATAAATGTGTAATATTCTGAACTCTACTCTATTTGAGGAGGCTATATATTTTGGCTGAAACTGAAATGGACTAGCAATGCTTAACATCTTTTACAAAGAACGGAATCTCCCCTGGAAACCTTTTGAAAAGTTGTCAATGCTTCCCAATGAACAAATGCCACTTTGCATATATTTTGATTTATTATTACTTATTATTTCCCATATTATAGGATAAGGGTTAAAAACACTGTGTATGCTATTTAAACATTGGGCACAAATTAAGTCCCTTGAGTATATCATTTTCCCTTTTAATTTGTCCATTTTTTGAAAAAAAAATCTCATTGTTTCTTTTTTCACCACAATTGCTTCATGATGTCAATGTACCATTGAACTACATAGAAATGATAATAAGGTTCCATTTTAAGGTCTCTCTCTTCCTATTCATTTATAACCAGTCCTTCCAAGACTAACATTTTGGTGAGAAAAGGCTTGTATTGCCCATTTTGCCAATACCTCTCAAATAATTTTGGAGGCAGTCAATAGTAAAACAAGCAAAATTATCATTGCAAAATATATAAACAAATAATCAAGCAAATTACAAGTATCGCAACAAAGAAAATAACTGAAAAGGAAAACACTGTTTAAAAGGAGCCAGTTTTTGATAGAGAACTACTAAAATGAAAGTGCCTGTCAACCTGCCAGTTTAAAAAAAAAAACCTGCTTGGAGGTTTTATATATTTTTTTCTTTTCAAATGTACAGTTGTATATCTTTCTTTATCCACATTAATCCAAATATGTAAAGATCACCATCATATTGTTGTTGATTCCAAATTGATTGGCATCTTGAGTTTGACAATGCTGCATACAAACTAACCTACAACAGACTCCTGTGTTTTTCCATGTATGAAAATAAATGTCATTTTTCAGGGGTATGCCCCCATTTTCCAGGATTCCACCATAGGAGGCTTGGATGGAGAGAAAAAAAGACCTTGAAAAGGTTGTTTTAGATTTATCGGTTTTTCCTTCTTAAGTTAAAAAATTTCACTTGTTAAATAAGGATACTGCATAGAAGAAATAAGATTATCTAAATAAGTAAATAATGACAGCTAAATGAGAGAATAGCAGAAAGGACGCAGCTTTTTAACATTTAACTTTATGGTCTGACATATTTGCACGGAAACAAATTTCATTGTTTTAATTTCTGTTTTATTCATTTATAAAATATACATATACCATAATAAGGTTCCCATTAAAAACTCCCCAAATGGCTTATAAACAATAAAGTTTCGATGCAAAATAAATAAATAAAAACCGTTCACAGCCAAAAGAAAAGAGAAACTAGCACTAAATCAAAAACGACGCACAGAAAAAAAGTAAAAATACATAAACTTTATTAAAAGAGGGAAGGGGAGGGGGGTATAACATAACAAAATATCTTCGGATCGCTACGATCACCCCGTCCCATACACTTTTGTTGCAAGCAGAATCACCAGCTTTGGGGTTTACGCTTTCGGGAGGGAGGAAGGCAGAGGCTGCCCAAAGAGGACGCCCTGCATTATTTTCAGGGTGTTGTGTTGTTTCGGTGCAAACAGGGTGCTCAAGGGTGGAGATTCCGGTCAGCCTTCCCAGAACTATAAAAGGCGCCCCTCCTGTCAGTCGCAGCTCCCCAAAAGGCGCCACGAACCCCAACCTCTAGCTCTCCTCCTCCTCCTCCTCTTTCCTGAGGTCGCAGCCCGGCCTCAGCCTCCGAACGCAGAGCCCCAGACGGACCGACGGGCGGAGATATGCAGATCAGCTGGGCTCTAATAGGTGATTCCCGGGCTCTCCTCCCCCTTGGCTCGGCCCCTCGCGGCTAGCGTTTTATAAACAGGCGGCTTTCCAGCGAGGCACAACAGGAGTCCAAGTGGGCAGCGTTGGCTGGAAGTAGAGAGGCGGCGGCGAGAGTTTGACGAGGGCGGTGGGCTCTTTGCCGGGCCCCTTTTCTCTCGGGGCCACTCTTGGCCTCTGCCGGGGCATAAGGCCATTCCTTTCCGACTTCAGCTACAGTGATAGCTAAGTTTGGAAAGACCAAAGAGAGGGAAACCGTGGCGTCCTCCTGCACCCCTTTTAGCCCCCCCTTCCCGAATCACCCCGCGTTTCTCTGCTTTCTATAGATCTCTCTCTCATATACTTCCACCCCTCTGTCTCTCTCTCTCTCTCTCTGTTGCCTCTGCTCTTGAAAGGGCTTGACAGCCTCCGCCACTGAGCAAAAAAAAAACAAAACACAACGGGTCGAGAGGTGACCGCGGATTGCCATGGCTCGGTCTGCAACAGAACGACAAAACAGCCAAGGCTGTTGTGGTGAGTGCGCGGGGGCCAGCGGGCTGGGCTTGAAGGAACGGCAGCGGTGGGGGAGGCCGTGCTGGAAGGGTTACACGCCTGTGGACCCGGTGGGCTCGTCGCGCAGGGAAGGCGCTTTTCCCGGGGCGCGAGTGGGGCTGGTGCGGGTGGAAAGGATGGAGGGGCGGGCAGGGCAGGCGGCCAGTCTGCAAAAAAGAAAGAAAAAAAGAGAAAGGAACGGGGAGGGGAAGCATGATTCGAGTATCAAGTGGACTGTCGGGAAGAGAAGAGGGCTTTTCCTGTTGTGCGAAGTTGACTCCAAGCATAAAGGAACCCCCGGTTCTTTTTAGAAACTGGGTTTAAATAATATTGGGCCACTGGAAAGGAGGGGATGCTGCTATAGAAATTCTCTTTTTGCTCTTTTGATAAAAGATGCTTCAGAGCATGCCCTGACCAACTGTTATAAGGCATGACGTTCGGGTCCAGAATGATATCAATGAGATTAATGTCCTCCTGCACATATAAAATGATCAGCATATATGTAGAGAGAACTGCAGATAGTTTGGGCTATCTACAGGCTGTATGATTGGGGACCATTTTTCTCGGGTTACCATCCCCAAATGGGATGTTTTCTGGCAGAAAATTGAGTTTATGCAGTTGCTTGTATGCCCTTTGGACAACTTTCTGCATTAAAATTCTAACTGGTAGGTGAACCCAGTTATCCCTTCTATATTTGATTGGAGAGCTGTCCTTCCAAGTGTATGTACAGCACCTATAAATAAAAACATTTGTGATGAAGGATATTATGGACATAGAATGGGAGTAATGGAGATGATCAGGGACCGCATAATATGTTGACTAGCAAAAGGTATTACAAAGCAGTTAATAGACTTACTATTAAAGGATGGCAAGTATTTCTTGAAATATTTACATTAATGAGTAACTGTCAAGTTACCTTAGCAGTAGAAGTAAAATAAATATTCATCACATTCAAATTCTTTAAAAGAAAATTCTGAATAGTATGGTAATAGCAAACACTTGCAGTAATAATTTACTAGACATCAACCTGTGTTCATTACAGTGCTTTGTTCTTTCCATCCTAGAATCCTGTATTAGCTATTTGACATCTGCAAAAGTCCTCCTGTACTTTGGACATGCCCTATCCACTTGGGTAAGTGAAATAAAACCACAGGAATTTGCATTTGATTTGAGGATAATTAATATGTATTATAATTACTTGGATACAAGTGCATTTATATTACTATATTATAGCTAGCAAAAATACAGCCAGTAAATTTTGCTCTGGCATAAATTACAAAATCACTCCTTTGGAATACTACAGTCAGTAATACTGCAATTAGGACTGGAGTTTGGACTTTCTAATTTATGGATAAAGCCCATGATTCACTGATTTTAAAGACCCTTATACAGTTGTTGAAAGGTAGGTTCAGATGCAGCTATATTTAAGGGTAGATATTTTGAAATTGGTGAACCCTAGCCTGATAATTATAAATTTGTTCCCTTGGTTTCAATATGTTTACTTAAAAAGTCACTGGCTGGACTCAACCTACTGTTTACAAAACAAAATGAACTTTGCATGTGATTTGAGGCATTTTTATTCTTTTGGCAAGCTTCCATTTTTTTCAAACAATGCTTGCAGCTCAATAATCAATGGATTTAACTCTTAGTAACTTTTGATATTCTATGGATACGAAGTTTGAGGTTTTGCATTGCAAATAGAAACTACTTCTAGAAATTAATTGTTCAAGAACTTGGATTTGCATCACAATTTTGTGGAAGGAGAACTTTTTAAAAAAGCAGATAGAGTACATTGCATTTCCAAGCAAAATTTAAAACAGCAGTTGGTAATTTTTATGTTAGCTACTGATTTTTAGTTATGTTAATTATTATGAATTGTGACCTATTAATGTTTAACAATGTCTTTATCTTCAGAATTTTAGAAGAGTGTTTGTGTTATGGTAGATTGAAATATTCATTTTTCCTGCAGTGTTCTATATTTGAATTTAAAAAATTATTTATTTTTTCACTACAGTAGTAAGAGTTTACATGAAAAAATATCTGATTGGCAACAATGTTTGAAAAAAATATTTACTCAATCTACTTTTATTCTGCCTTTCTACTTAAAAATACTCAAGTAAATTAGAAATAACATTCAAAATATATCCTATATTTAAAATTATGATTAAAAGTATGTATGAGGGAGAGACAGAAAAAGTATTAGGTTGATGAACCTGACACCTATATTTTGATTTAAATCTGATTTGATTATAAAGTTACTAATTAGTGTAAGAATTTAATATAAAAGCATTGTATATACTCTACTATGACTTCAGCTTTGTGTCATGAATAGTAGTTCTTAATATAAGATCATGACCATCCTCATTAAAATGTCCAAAAAATGTCTATCATTTTATTATCATAAAAATGTATTTGATATTTCACTGATTAAAATTAATAACTATAACAATAGCACGTTTGATTATCTCTTGATTTAATGAATTATATGGCTAGCATTATGATCTAATAAGGAATTAAGCATTATTTATTTCACTGGATTGCTTTTGGGAATTTAGAATTATGGCATAATTTTAAATGGCTATGAAGTTCGTATGATGCCAGAATATACTTGTAAAAGTTTCTGCATAATTCATTAATGATAGCTTAGACTCATATATTGTCTGCCTAAGTAATTTTTTCTTTAAGTAGAAAGTAAACAGGCAAATATAATAATATTGTCTGGCTAAAACATTTTTTTTCTTAAATAGAAAGCAAACAGGCAAATAAATACTTTTATAAAGTAGCTAACCTTTCATACCATTAGTTAAATTAACTTTATAAATATTGCAACTTCAGTAAATATCAGTATTGCTTGTTTAGCTATTAACTTGGAAATAAGAAACTCTTGCTAGAACTTCAAAAATAGCATGTTTATATCTTAAGTTAAAAACTGTGGCTTCCACTTCATGGCAAAGTCAAAAGTAATTACCTTTTCAGAGCTTCCTTATTAGACCTGTGGTAATTTCATTAAACTGTGGTCAGTTCATACCTTATGCAAAAGCAAACTCAGAAGTGAAGAGTACATTCCAAAGAGTTGATGTTAATCATGATTTCCTAACAAACTTACCTCATCAATCTGTATACTGTATTCCTAACTTATGTTTGCCAGCGGACGCTGAAGTACCTTTAAGAGTGCACATAAAATAGATTGGGCCAATGTCATATGCTTTATATACTTGGGTGGATTCCCAAGGAAGCATTTGTAGTGCAAACACACCTTGCCTTATTGTCAGAAGGTTTATGAGAGGCCAAATGAAGGGTATTTCTAACCCAGTGTTTTCTCAATACTAGTTTTTTCTCTTCCTCTAACAATATATTTTTTTAAAAATGAATAATTGCACAGATACTTCAGATTAATAATACTCTCGTTGTTGTCAGATTATTTCTTCTATGATTGCTTGCATTCAGGCATTTATATATGAGCAACTTTGGTATTATTGTTAGTTACCTGATTTTTTTGTTGTTGCTAAGAAAAGGGGACAAATACGTGCAAAGAATGGAGATAATGCATACACACATAACAGATAGGCTGTTAAAATATGAGCATTGCAAAAGAAATGGTCATTAGAGATATCAGCTGGCCAGTCTTGTTTGGTCGTTTTCGGTTCTTTCAATGATTTGACTAGGTATTGAGTTAACAGGAATCAAAATCAATAATTCCTATATTTTTCATGGACAGAACAATGGAATGCTAATTGATTGTAGCAGAGCTACTTATTATTAGGACTTGTAAGAAAACCCAAACACATAAGTTGACAGAACAACTGACACCGCTCCAAGTTGTCCTGTGAGTAAGATAAGCAATCTTTAAATTCAATAAACAAATAAATAAAAATTCCTGCCAGCCTAGACATTAAGAGACTTTTCACTCTGCTAGTGGTAATGTTGTATTTTATCAGTGAGGCAGTATGTAGGCCTTAAGAGAGTCTTTTCCAGGTTCCAGGTATTTTGAGATTCACAATTTCCAGTGGCCATGCAATCCAAAGATATTAATGTTATAATTGTAGGTTTGGTTGAAGGTTATTTATTTGTTGTTTTCAGTGCAGAGAAAGTGTACAATACAGCAAATATAAAAAGAATAAATATAAATAACAAAAATTATATAAAAACCATCTCTCACACACTTAAAGCTTGTCAGAAGTAGATAGATTTATTGTGAAACAATGAAAGGAAAACAAGATGTTCCCTAGCAAGGTACCCCTACTAAAAAAGCACGCCCCTATTCAATTTGAATGTATTTCATTGACGATACCGTATTAGCAATGACCTCCCTGTGTAGATGTTGATATTAATTAGTGTATTTTATATATATCTAGGGCAGTATTTCTCAACCTTGACAATTTTAAGGCATGTGGACTTCAACTCCCAGAATTCCAGAGCCAGCATTGCTGGCTGTGGAATTCTGGGAGTTGAAGTCCACATGCCTTAAAATTGTCAAGGTTGAGAAACACTGATCTAGGGTATCTTGTCCAAGCATACCTCTTAGCACTACAATGCGGATACAGTATTGTTGGTAGTCCTAGTTTATATACATCCTGAGTTGCTGGATGTATCATATGTATAATGGACTTTTTAGAACTTGGGAAAGAGAATGATAGTTTTTAAAATATTCCCCGGGATAGAACATGTGTACATTCCACCTGTATTAGCGAATTAAATAGCAATTTCCTTACTGCTTTAGGAAGCAGCCTGCTAAGGGGATCAAAGAATCCCCATCAAAAATAAAAGCTGTTAATAACTGGGGTACTAAAATCCATGTATCTTGTTCTCAAGATTCTGTAACCTATCCCTTTTTTCCCTCTTAATGAATCCAATTATTAAGATTATATGAGAATCTAGCCATTTTGGATAAGAGTGGCTGAAAATGTAATACCGGTATATACATATTTAAGTGATACATGTTTTGGCTATTTTATTGATATTTACTTTGAATGTTGTATAACACCTTACAATCTGCCCAAAGTTTTCTACTTATTTGCAGATTTAAAAAGCAATGAATAATGTAACATATTGTATTCATTCTAGGGGGATCGTATGTGGCATTTTGCAGTGGCTGTCTTCCTGGTTGAATTATATGGAAACAGTTTGCTCCTAACCGCTGTTTATGGATTGGTTGTGGCAGGATCAGTTCTTATTCTAGGTGCCATTATTGGAGACTGGGTAGACAAGAATTCAAGGCTCAAAGGTCAGTAGTGTCATACTTCGTGATTGAAGGATATTTGCATGGAATAAGGGAAATCTAAATCACAAAAAAAGCATGGAATTTGCTGAAACAATTGTGTCACTGCCAAGTTTTTAATTACAGTGTGCTTAATTTACAGTATGCCCATTTGGCTGATTGCACCTAATTAAGCTTGAAAAACTTTACCAGACTTATTGACCATCCTAAAATAGAATCCTCAGCTGCATAGCACCACCTAGCCAAAGATTTCCATAAAGTTTCAGAGTTAGTTGATTTTGGAAGGTTCTGAAAAGTCTACAGAAAAGCCACTTACATGGAAGATCATTTGAAAGCCATGGGCTAGACTGATAGATTAAACAAACATAAGGGAGCAAACCATTTTTTTTGTATTGCTGCCAAGAAAAGTTAATGGTCATGTTCATCAAGCACCAGGTATCAAGTTTGACTTAAAAGCAATTTTACACCTTTACTCTTTAATGCAAAATTAAAGGGTCACATCCCCACTTCAGAAAAAAAAACACTGGCTTTTCTGTTAACATTGATGTAAAGGAGGCTATGAAAATAACAAATAGACTACCCATTCATATCTGCGTTTACTTATTCTTCAAGAATTACAAGCTTCACTGGGACTTATTCCATAATGAGGCATGACTCTATAGAACCTGCAACTACTTTAGAATAGTAATTTGAACTGTTTATTAAAAATGCACAGTAGGGACGCTACCTCATACTTCAGTGGCTTCCATAATTATGTTATGTGCTCTTCAGAATTAATGTTTAAGTTATTAATATGACTTAAATCTTGTCTAGGTGTTTGACTAAATACTTCACAAATAATTATCTAGTGTACACAAAGCTAATTTTGAATAATGAATGTCCATTAAATGTAAATATCAACTACTCAAGCTGGGTGTTTCCTCCTTGGTAGTAGCGTTAGCAATTTGAAAACAATGCTTTCTCATCAAGAAGGGACCGTCCATTGTCTACTGCTGTTTAAGCACTAATGCAAAGGTGAATGTCTCACTTTCTTTTACTTGTTAAGACCATATTTAGGACATTGGCCTAAAAATGTTGTCTTGAGAACAGGTGTAAACATCTTGATTTAATAATAGACTGAAATATTTCCTATTTATCGACATTGTGTGCCCTTTCTTTTCTCCTAAACAGTAGCCCAAATGTCCTTAATTGTGCAGAATGCATCCGTTATTTTGTGTGGCATCCTTCTGATGATCGTTTTCCTGTTTAAAACGCAGCTTATAAATTTGTATCAAGGATGGCTTCTTGTAAGTGCACAGAACTTAAAAACATTTATAAGCATATACAAAGTACTTTGCTATTAGCTGTTTTTTGAAAAATATATTAATGTTTTGTAATCAGCTTCAAGCTTTAGGTAGGTTTTTGATCAGCTTTAAGCTTTAGTGTGTGTGAATTGTCAATACCTATACAGTCAACTCCATTTACGCCAGTAAAGCCAGATCAGTTTGCCTTCACAAGTTTGCATTAGCGCATCGTGAGTATTGATTGCAAAGAACTACTGACTGCAAATGGAGATATACTGATTCTTAAAAAGAGTGAGAGATCAGGACTGCAGAAATTTCAGACAGCTAAAGTGTTTTATATCAGGGTAACTAGTGATCATTTTTGCCAGCCTTAAGCAGAAGGATTATATCAAGCTATGCTATGGCTTATGATAACTGTTCTTTGTTGACTAAACTTTGTTGATAACTGTTCTTTGTTGACTAAATTGTTTGTTGACTAAATTTTGCATAATTACCATGGTTCATAAACCACAATTAGCTGTATTTACAAAGTATCTTTGATAGGTTCACTATAGAATAATTACAGGGGTTGAATCCAGAGAATTGTCCATGGAAAGAAGGAGCAGGTTCTGGATTTCCTGTCTTCCTCTGTCCCAACCAGCCCCTAGAAAACCTCACAAATCTAGCATTATAGTTACAGGGTCATAGGAAGCATGGCTAGGAGAGTTCCAAAACAGAAGTCTCTGATTTTCTTCAAATGTGTTTCATCCTCCCAAATAAAAACAAGGTCTTTAGATCCTGGAGATATTTTGGGAGAGAGCTTTGGGGCTAGGGGTTAAGGAAAGAGTAGGGAGATCAGTTTATGCTTGTTCCCTATGTGGCCAAATATCTTGAGATGTAAAATTCATGCAAAAATCAGCAGTTCAGGTGGGAATGTTGATTTAAATAGTGAGGGGAAGGCCTTGCTTTCTTTTTCCATAAATAAGTTCTTTCCATTCCCATAGACCTTGTGCTATATTCTAGTCATCTCAATAGCAAACATTGCAAATTTGGCCAGTACAGCCACAGGAATCACCATACAGAGGGACTGGGTTGTTGTTGTTGCTGGTGACAATAGAAGCACATTAGCAGGTAAGGTATATTTGTTTACCTTATTTTATTCTGTATGACTGGGTTTTTAAAAAAATGAATTTAACACGTTTTGCTGAACCCATTGTGAGAACATGAGTTTAGATTTCTTTTTCAGTTCTTCTTTTTCTAGTTTGGATAAAGCAACAGATCAGAGAATTATCTAATTTGTATGAACAAGTAGTCAACTCTAAATCAATTATAGTTTCATCAAGGTTTAGCAAACAAATTGTAATACTCCTTAAAATACTTCTTTGTCACTTCTTTGTCAAAACAATATTGTTTATATGGTAAGGAAATAATTATTCAGCAATTCATTGAGTTAGTCAATCAATTTATGTAGATGCCTACTCAACATGCAACTCAGGATAGTATTCACAGTTAAAAACAATAAATACTCATCATCATCCAAAGAATAAAATACAAAGTGCATTGTGCCAGAAACAGCTCAGATAATTCAAAATAATTAATCAAGAAAAGCTCACAAATTCTCTTGACTTTGTGCCTGGTGGAGAGACCAAATCACTAGAGCCATTCAGAAGCGGGGCAGAATTGGGGACACATGGATTTTGGAAGGAATGCTGTTCCATGGAGCAGGCATAGAGACAAAAAGACACATCTCCTGGTCCCACCAGATGACCATGCTTAAGTGATGGAATTTGGAGCATGCCCACCTGGTCATCTGACATCAGACAGGCAGAGGTAATTGGAGGCAGGCAATTTTGCAAGTAACTAGGCCCATTCTACTTCTACCAAATTAGATAGGATCATGCTACTTCTTCTGTAGAAAGAAGAGTAGGTTGTGTTGCAAACTGACAACAGCAGCCTTAAGTTCTAATCCTAAGCATTCTTGTAATGGTAACTGGATAAGGATGCAATACTAGTTAAATACTAGAATTTCATGAAACAAGATGTAACAATAATATATAAAAGATTAACTATCTGGTTTAAGGTTAGTGTGGGTAAGAAGACTGAGATAGACATAATATCTCTGCACCCAATGATATTTGTTTAGAACAAATGTTACTACACTTGTGCATGAATATTTATTTAACATATTTTATCTAGCCCTCAAGGAAGGTTTATGAAACAATCTAAATATCTAAACATGTATTCATACTAAGCCAAATATTTATGCAACCAGAAAGTGTAAAATTGACAAAAACCCAGGAAAAAGTCGAAATGATCAATAATCAAGATTTAAGAAAAGACTAAAATTATATTTGCAAAGCCTAAAAAATGGCGTTCTTTTTCTTCAGTAATTGTTTTATTGCAGTAGAACATGTGAATAATACATTATGAAATACATATATTAGCTGGACACAATGGTATAAGCTAGAAATTGTTCACACATAATAGTTTAGATAATTTGAAACTTTAAAGATAAGAAGAAAAAAGTTCATGTTAAATATAAGTTCTAAAATGTTGATAAATATAAGATTGTTTAAATTATCCAATTAAAAATAAGTGTAGTAATGATAGACAGTTGCAAAATAAATGCTTGTATAATATAAAAAAGGTTTCTACCTTTATCTTAATGCTTATTATTAAGGTCTCCATTGTATTATTGTTGAGATGATTTATAAATATTAACAAAAATGAAAAGCAGAATAAAAGAAAAGAGAAGCTGCTTGGTAAAGTAAGCAGTTTTTCAACTGGACTCATAAAAATTGCCATTTCTGAGCCTGCCTTTCATCCTGTAGGTGTGGCACAGAAAAGAGAGTTAGTTTGTGTGACATTGTCAAGTACTAACTTCCACATTGGCTTATAGATATGAATGCTACCATACGAAGGATTGACCAGTTGACCAACATCTTGGCTCCATTGGCCGTGGGACAAATAATGACTTTTGGATCACCAGTGATAGGGTGTGGATTCATTTCTGGCTGGAACTTGATTTCCATGTGTATAGAATATATGCTGCTCTTCAAAGTGTACAAGAAGACGCCTGCTTTGGCTCACAAGGCTGGTCCAAAGGGTGAAGAGTCAGAACTGAAGCAGCTCAATGTACAAAAAGGTAACAGGATTTCAGAAGTTATCTTTGATCAAATAGCAGCGATCTTTTGCGTACTTCTTTTGTCATTTTACGTTCAACTGAGTTAATTATTCATTCTGTTTCCTTATAATTCTTTATATAGTATACTTTTAAAAATCCATTCCATTCCATTGGAAAAGGCAGTAAGACAGTGGCACACCTGCTGCTGAAGCACTTGATGCTAAGGATTTATTTGACATACTCAGAGCTCTAAGTCAGAAGAGCAGACATGAGGAAAGAGAAGCATTTGGTGCTTTCCTGCATTCTTTGTCTTTCTAATGGAGTGGGGGGAAAAAACCTTTCCAACTATGCAATGGGAACCAGTTTTTACATGTCAGCCAATTGTTTACAACCTGGCTCTAGGGTGGAGCTCTAAAGTTCCTTGCTAATAGCAGATCTGTTGTTCATTGGCGCAAATTTGTTTGAATGGGCAATCCTTATCTGCTGCTTCTTTCTGCAGATGGTGAACCGAAAGGTACTGAAGGAGTCCAGTTAATTCACAAGAAAGAGAATGCTGTTTCTGAGCCTGAACGGGAAAATACTAGCTGTCTTTCTCGCATGACCGAGCCCTTCAGTACATTCCGTGACGGATGGGTTTCCTACTATAACCAGTCAGTGTTCCTTGCAGGTCTGGCCCTGGCATTCCTTTACATGACTGTCCTTGGCTTTGACTGTATTACTACTGGCTATGCATACACTCAGGGACTGAGTGGCTCCACCTTAAGCTTATTAATGGGGGCCTCTGCCTTGACTGGAATCCTGGGAACAGTAGCCTTCACTTGGCTACGTAACAAATGTGGGTTAGTTCGCACAGGCATCATCTCTGGAATAGCCCAGTTGTCTTCTCTTCTTTTGTGCGTGATCTCAGTGTTCACACCAGGAAGTCCTTTGGATCTCAGTGTTTCCCCATTTGCTGACATCAGTGCTAGGTTGTTTGAAAGCAGTCCATTACCCACCCTGGCGCCTGATGGTGATATCCTTGAAATGGCTTTTACCACTGAAATGCCTGCTTTGGTCAATGCAACGTCTTCTGATCCAGGACTAGCTCCCAGCCCAGTGCCTCTCATCTCTGTTAGCCTTCTGTTTGCGGGAGTGATTGCAGCAAGAGTTGGTACGTATATTCCTGTATAAAATACTCACCTTAGAATACAAATCTATACTTCTGTAGCAGTTGTGGAACTTTCATGAATCATGTATTAATTTTAGATCAGTGGTTCTCAACCTGTGGGTCGGGACCCCATTTGGGGTCGAACGACCATTTCATGGGGTTCACCAAACAACACAGTCCACCATTTTTCCCCCTTTTCCTTAGCTGTGCTACTCCCTTTTATTCTATTGGCTTTTGAAAGCCAATAGAATAGACTCTCTTGAATAGAGTCTAATTCTATTGGCTTTCAAAAGCCAATAGGAATTGTCCAGGCTGTCTCTGCCCTGCTGAGCCCGCCAAAAGTCCCATTCTGCAAACGGTGCTGCACCAGTTGAGTAGTCCTCGACTTATGACCGGTTGAGTAGTCCTCGACTTACGACCGGTTTGGGGGGGTCACGGCATTAAAAAGGTTGAGAACCACTGTTTTAGATTTTCAGTTTGGTCTCTAGATACAGTTGGATTACAATTTGTGATGTATTGGATTGCAACTCCTAGAATTTCTAGGCAGCTGAGCATTCCAGGACTTGCTTCCCATTCCCAACACAATTGAAGAAGATTTTATTGATAAAAAGCTTTTAACACCATGTTCCTTTGCATAGCCATTCAGAAGCAAGTCTTGTCACATGCAGTGGGGAAAATTAAGCATGGGTTTAGGTGGCCTAAATTGTCTTATTCTTGTAAACAAATGCAAGATAAATAAAATGGACTAAAAATTATAAATCTCAGCGGTGCAGAAATAGCGTCATCCTAGTTGCTGGGTGTATACAAGTGTAGCCTGCATTGCAGAAAGAAGAATTGGAAGTGGTTATCTATTTCCATATCCCAGCCTTTTTCCAATCAGCAGAACTCTTCTGATTGGAAGACCAGAGCAGAGTTTTCCCATTGTATATATTTGCAAAATGCAATGGCAAGACTCTTAACTGAAAAGATGAGGATTTGTTTGAAGAATAGAGATCTGTGCTTAATAAACAAGTATTCTTCTCTTTCTCCTGCCCCCCACTTCAGCTGGAATTAAATACTTTTTCCTTTTGTTTGCATTGAATAGGCCTGTGGTCTTTTGACCTGACAGTCACACAGTTGCTTCAGGAAAATGTGATAGAGTCCGAACGAGGTATCATAAATGGTGTCCAGAACTCCATGAATTATCTTCTGGATTTGCTGCATTTCATCATGGTTATTCTGGCTCCTAACCCTGAAGCTTTTGGACTTTTGGTACTCATTTCTGTTTCCTTCGTCGCAATGGGTCATATCATGTACTTCCGTTTTGCTCATAAAAGCTTGGGGAGGCACGTCATTCTTTGCTGTACTCCTGAGGTAAAGTCAGTTGCCAATGAGCCCCCAAATTCTGATGAATCCAATGCATAGAGAGGATTTTGTCTCCTCCAGGTGTTTTTTCCAGTCCAAGTTGACTGACATGCTTTATTATGGGTCAGAAGCATTTGGCACCTTCTAAAATGGTGTTCCTTTCCAACACCCAAGCCCACAACTTACCTTGTTTTCCTTTGCCCTTGGGCAGGTAACCAGGTATGGATTTTTACCAGGTGCAAGAGATACACTTATTTATTTAAGAGGATATTTCCTCAAGAGTTAAAGTTTAATTTTTTTTAAAAAAAAAGGCAGTTGACTAGAAGGACATAATGTTGATTCTTTTCAAATACACAATTGCTATTGATTGGATTGGGGCAGAGATTAAAAAAAATAAAATATGCTCTTATATTTAATATGATTAGCAGGTGTTACTTTTCTTATACAGCATAGATGTGTAGTTTTTTTTTCTTTTTTAAAGAAATAGATGTGAAGAAAACATTATACAAATCAATGACAGCAAAGTTTATTGATAAAGTTCTCAAATGTGCCTTTAAACAAACAAACAAGACCTCTCTTCTATGACATTACTTCTAGTTCAGTTTTGGAGAAACATCTGGGTTATTTTAGTATATTATCTATATAACAAATAATGCAAAATATTAGAGAATATGTATGTAGCACTTCATAGGAGGCAAGATTAACCTAGCATAAGCCGAAGCTATTTATATAATACATTATAGCATTGTAAATCATAAGGGGGAAGTATTTTTGGTTTTATAAATTTTCAATAACATATTTACTAAGCCTTGGTTTCATAGTATTAAAGGCCAAATATAGGAAGTGTGAGAACTAGGATGTGTGTATGTGTGTGAATGAAAGAGAGTGCAAGAGAAAAGAAAGATGCAATCTTTTTTTTTCAAAATTATTTAAATTATTTAAAACACCTAAGCTGCAAACTGCAACCATTTATTTTACAATAGCCCCCCTAATATCTTGAAGAAATCAAGAATATGCCACGAGCAATTTCTTTATATAAAACCCATTTCAAATGAATAGGAATTGACAAAAAAGCAATTTGCTTCCTAGATGAACAATATGAGACATTATGTATGAATTCTTTGTGTATTCCTATCTTATGTATGTCAGTAATTTGGAGAAGAAATAAGCTGTAGCATGAGTGTAACTTGTGAACACATGATTAATAGTTTAATCACAATTAAAGTAAAAGCATGTCCCTGATTATAGATCTATATCTGAAAAAGCAACTTGCATCCAGAAGGATGCATAGAAGTATTTGTATTATCAAACAGCTTCTTGGCAGCACTGCTGTTGGCAGCTCCAAAAGTATGTTGGGGCAAAAGTTTGGTGAAGACTGACAGTGGTGCATATCTTCTATTCAGTGGCAGGATTAGTGTAGTTCCGCTGTGCTAATCAGCCAGCATGGTTTGCACTCAGAAGAAGGATCAGCATGCAGAGAGTCCTGTTTCACTTACACTGGTGAATTGGGGCACATCTGTATAGTTTTAATGTTTTGCAGAGCTGATACCCTTATGTACTCTGTTTTTTTAAAAAGTACCTTTTGTACCCTAGCTTACTAAAAATGCTATTTTAAATAAGTTGCAATTTGTTTGGGATTTGTGTGCGTGTGCGTGTGTGTTTATATTTTTTTTTTAAAAAAAAAAACTTGTTAATGTAAAAACAAATTGATTATCAGTGACCGACAATGCCATCTATGTACGAATTGCTTTTGGAGACATTTTATGGTATGCAGAAATGAGTACAATGCTTTTTACAGTAAGTTTCATGCACTTTTGTGGAAATTGCAGTAATAATGCTACAAGCACTTTGCTTTCAAATAGAGTTGAATCCTCTTACTCTACTCTGGAGTTTTGCTAAATGTAATTTTCAACTTCTGTTGTTAAATATTTGTAAAATATTTGTATGCATAAATATAAACTATTTTTCACATTTTTGCCTTTTCTTTATTTGGCTAATATATTTTGCACACAATACAGTTAATCCCACATCTGAAATTAAGTGGCAATTCACAGGATCTGTGTTTAGAATTTTCTCTAGAATTTTCAGTCTTAAACTGAAACTGAATTTTATACACAGATAAAATGGAGATACGATTGCTTCTAGCATAATGAATTGTAGACAAGTCTTGGATTGATTTGAGAGAATTATAGTAGCAGTTCGAAAGCAAAACAAACAAAAATCCCATATACTGAATGTTATAATTCATTGTTGCATATATTTAATTTAGTGTCAACTCAATACTGTTTTCAATGTCATTACAAAATTGTATTTAGTCCAATTTTAAACTTTCTTGATAAATAACTCGAGGATAAATATATAGTTACTTTCTTGGATCAAAACATACTTGGATTGGACACTGAGTGGCTAATGTTTTGCCTTTTTAAGGGGGATTGTAATATCCCAGCATTTCTCTGATGATGAAAATGATGAGTGGAGAAGAAACATATAATCTGAAAACATATAGTTTGGGAGACATATCTATTTGTATAGCATGCCTACTAAAATTGACCAGTAAAGTGCATTTTAAAGAAAAGAATAATAAGAAAACATACCTATTTTATTTATAGAATTTATATCCCACCTTTTTATTTTATACCAATGATTTCTGACCTCTGAAAATAAAATTTGTCCATCAGAAAAGACAATATGAGTTTGGCTGGCCTCAGCAAGGAAGCAATAATTTGTATTGACCGAAAAGGACATATGATCTTTCTCACTTAATATGTAACTTACAATCAAATGACAATAGTTAGCATCATGATGCCATGATGCTTGGACAACTTTGTCTCTCCCTTTTGCAAAATTATGCCTGAAAATTTGTGGAGATCAACACATTCCTTCAAGAGCTTACCTGAAACACCACAATCTCATGCAAGACCTCTTGAGACTTTGATATTCACACCCAAGTTATGGATTGCAGGTTTCTTACCTCCTAGGTCAGGGGTAGGCAACCTCGGCTCTTTTATGACTCATGGACTTCAACTCCCAGAATTCCTGAGTCAGTAGTCATAAAAGAGCCGAGGTTGCCTACCCCTGTCCTAAGTCATTGTGCAACATTGTGCCATGGGGGCCTGAAAATGTTAATTGATTATTAAGCAAATTCAAAGCTTGGTGAGCATTAGTTGTAAATGAGGAGGTACAAATGAATGTGTTCTGCTTCCCTTTTTACGTTAAAAAAGTATTTTAAATCAAGCTTCTCTCCTGCTGATGGATGCTCTTGGCAATTTTTGGTTTGTCAATGCCACCTTCAAGAGAATCGCCATTGGCAATGAAGACCCTCTACGTGTGGAAATTCTTCATCAGATTAAGAACCTTAGAAAAATAAGATTTGAAATCATATTGGGGGATCTACTGCAGACAGTTGCCCCATATATGAAGGTTATGAATATGAAAGAAAGAGTGATTGCATGCCTTAAGGCATCCTCCTTCTCTGTAGCGCTAATGTGCCCCTAAAGATGCCCAAAGAGGGCTTTAAAAAAAAGGACTTCTCTTGTGAATTTGCAAGAACAAGAAACCGGTGTGTTTACTGAAAGGCCACCAAAGGAGGACAAAGTGCATGCTGTACAATAATGCTTATCCAAATACTTCAACCTGTTCTACAATCAGTCAATAGTTCTTTATAGTTAATGTTTTCCTTGCTGCATTTTGCAAGAAGAAAGGTACATAACAAAGGGCATAGAGTAGTCCACCTCCAAATATCTCTAATGACAAATATAACCATATCTTAAAGACATGACCTCACTTTTAAATGGGAAGAAGTCAAAGGTCTTAGCTGTAATGATAGTGAAATCTAGGAAACTTGTGTGGATCATTGAATAGTATGTGGATCCTACATTTTGGTCCCCCCCCCCCAAGTCTTTTTCTCAGAATTGACTTTTTGCAATGTGAGGCTGAGAAGTTCGGGTATCTTAGATGTGATCTTTTATCATCCCGAATCACTTGACTAGCACATTTTTCAAAGGAAATGAGGATTTAGTTCTAAGATACTAACAGATACCTACATTAATCTCAAAATAACTAAGCAAATTTAGTTAACAAACTGATGATACAGGGGGAAAAATCCCCTATGTAATGATAAAACTGGTGACCAGTCTTGACACCTTTATTTATGGATGTGTTAAATGGAATTTGTCGCAAAACAGTTTGGCAACATATATCTACCACTAGAAATTGATCTGACCACTAAACATTTTATTTTATTTTTATTAAGGAAGAGAAGAATAAATATTTTTTTTTCTTCAAAACTTCCCTTAGCTATGCTTTGTAAATTTATAGCATTCAGTTTTGGGATGGACTACCAGTCAAATCATAACTTGCTGTCACTTTATGAGAGATTTAGGTTAGCAAGTCTGCAAAGACAAGAAAAGGGTTTCTTTCCCACCAACTTGTTTTTTTTATGATACAGGAAAAGGTGAGCGGGAATGAACTTCATAGCTTCATTGCAACCCTAGCAGTTCCATATCAAAACAATGAAGTGATTCCTGAGGAACCTACAAATCTGTAGCAAGATGGCTTGGAGAGAAGATTTCTTTCCCAGATTCATTGTCCTATAGTCCCCTAATGACGCTATATAAGGCATACTGGAGACAGAACGGTTGCTGGAATTGGGTATGTCTAATTCAGTGTTTCTCAACCTTGACAATTTTAAGGCATATGGACTTCAACTCCCAGAATTCCACAGCCAGCACTGCTGACTGTGGAATTCTGGGAGTTGAAGTCCACATGCCTTAAAATTGTCAAGGTTGAGAAACACTGGTCTAGTTTAACGAAGAGAAGGATGAGGGGGGACATGATAGCAGTGTTCCAATATCTCAGGGGCTGCCACAAAGAAGAGGGTGTCAAGCTATTTTTCAAGGCGCCTGAAGGCAGGACAAGAAGCAACAGGTGGAAACTAAGCAAGGAGAGAAGCAACCTAGAACTAAGGAGAAACTTCCTGACAGTTAGAACAATTAACCAGTGGAACAACCTGCCTCCAGAAGCGGTGAATGCTCCAACACTGGAAGTTTTTAAGAAGAGACTGGACACCCATTTGTCCAAAATGGTATAGGATTTCCTTCCTGAGCAGGGCGTTGGACTAGATGACCTCCAAGGTCCCTTCCAACTTTATTATTATTATTATTATTATCATCATCATCATCATCATTATTATTATTATTATTATTATTATTATTATTATTATCTTAATCATAAGATCTGCATTTCATAGTTCCAAAGGGAAATCAGCCATTTTACTATTTCTCTCTTGATTTTTATATCCTGTCTATAAATATTGGGTTTTTTTCTCCTGCTGCTTTTTGAGTGTGTTAATGCTTTGCTAACTGAACGCAATAAAATGTGTTAGGTTTATTTATTTCATTAATTATTAATTATTTACACACAGGGGGTTCCAAACTTACAAAAATCCACAAAATAAAAACTCATAAAAATTCACCCTTCCCCCCCCATAACTATTTATCAACACAATCAAATCAACCATTTGATCGGTGCCATTTCCATTCATGCTCCCCCGGCCTGTTGACATTAATGCAGCTTCAAGAAACGTAAAGAAATTGTTTTTGTGAACACTTACTGCTAAAAAAAAAAAAAAAAAAGCCCTTCCATCTTTCTAAGTTCTAAGTACCTTAGCCCTCTGGCATCTCTGCAAAACCATGTTATTGTTTTTGGTTGAGCAACAGAAACTGGGCTGTGGGCAAATATCCATGCCTATGTTTGCTCAGCTGTTAAACTAAAAATGTCAATCAATGTGGGTTTATAGCACAAAGTGCCCTGTACTCACCTGAACCAACACACAAAGCCCAGAGGTCACTACTGGGACACAACTTTGACAGAGGATACAAATAACAAAGGGAACAACATTTGCATGGTCAAATGTCTTTCTTTCTTTGACACTTTGACACTGCCACGTTTTCACTTCCCAACCTTTCAAAAAGGATTTGAAGTCAACTTACCATTATCTCAACTGCTGCAAGGTCTCAGAACCCTGAAAATAGCCAAGAGATCTTCCTTTCTGATATTAAGAGAACACAAAGCACATCCCTGAATCAGGTCCCCACCCCAGATCCTGCCTGCCACGTCTTTAGTTTTTATGTTTTGCACCTTGCTGCATCATTTCTTTTTCTCCAAAAGCAATCCTTATAAGGGGGCAGAGATCTTCCCTAGAAGGGGAGCTACAAAGCCACAAAGTCACTATTCTTCTATTGTGTTTAAAAGATCTACAACCTATGTGGAGAGAGCAGGAGAGAGAAGCTGGTCTGAGCCGAAAAAACAGGAGATAACAAGAACCTGATAAGAATACATACAGTACATACAAAAGCTTTGCAGCCCTCATATTGTAGAGAGTAAGACTGTCTTCTGTACGATCCTGGAGACACTGAACCAAAAATAGACTCAACGCAATGTTGTGAAATCAACAAGTGAGAAGGTACTTCTGCAGTTGGGTGTAGAAGAGCCTTTTCTTTCACCCAGAGATCTAATCTATGTCAGGGATAAGTCTAAATTATTATCTGCCTAGGGCATATTAGAAATTTTGTTTTCTCAAAAATAAGGTCAATAATAGCAGAAGTATGTCCTTGACTATTATAAAAATAGTACAAGCAAAGAGGAACATGGTAGTGAGATATACCTTTTTCACATGGAAAAAAAATGAATGGGGAAACTTATTCCCATCTCTTGTAATACTATAATTTGCGTCACATAACATAATAGTGCAGTATTATGCACTGAGTTGTTGAGCCATTATTTATAGAGGGTAAGCTTAGTATAGATCAGGAGTCTTCAAACTTGGCCCTTTTATGACTTGTGGACTTCAACTTCCAGAATTCCTCAGCCAACATGCCTGGCTGAGGAATTCTGGGTGTTGAAGTCCACAATTCATAAAAAGGCCAAATTTGAAGACCCCTGGTGTAGATTAAATAAATCCAGGGAAGATATA